AAAATCTATCCTTAACGTTATATGCAAGTGTTTACTATTTAGGTTCCTACGCCCTGGGTTGGTGCGTGTTTTATGATTTTCTACAAATATAGACAACGTCCTGTATTGTGTTTACCTCATCTGTGGTTTAAGTAAAACTTTGGTTCCCTCTTACATTTTGTATCTCGCAGAATCTCGCGGGAGTTGAACAGCCCGGTGAGGTGGCAGAGACCAAGCGCCGTAAGTCATTTTGAGGACAACATTTGTATCAAAATCAGTATTAGTTCGTTGGTTATTTGCTCAGAAATGGCTCTAAAATACACAGGAGAGCCTCTTAATTTTAAACATTTCCTAGGGGAGCCCCCCGACCCCCCCCTCTCGATGGGCGTGATACATACAAACGTAGGGCGGTAGAATAAGTAATGCCTTTGTATTGTAAAACTAAGAACAGTCTGTAGCATAGTCACACATTGTAGCATCGTAGAATACATGTATTTACACATTCAGTGTTTGAGGCTGTATACGTAGTGATTGGTTTCCATAATGACAGAGAAACCTGAACTCCTCTTAGTACATGAGTTCTGGGATTGCGAATGGTTGGCAACAAGCTCTCCATTCAGCCCCTGACAGTAAAATACTTTGAAACACAGGTTAACGTTCCATCATCGCGAATAATAAGTACGTCATGGTCATGGTTACGTACATTCAATAAGACTATTTTTTGTACACGCAGATTCCCTGCCGGGCAGACTAGTCAACCACCGAATGTGTGCGGGGGGAAAAACAACTTAGACCGCTGGAGCCCCAAATGGCTGTGCAGAGAGTGCTCCAGTGTACGTAAACTACCAGACGATTACGCCCCTGGTACAGTGATGGAGAGAACATGCCAAGGACATACATGCCTGGACGGTAGGTTTCTTACTCATGACATTAGTAAGTATGAGATACATTTATTTACACACTGGACTGGGCCTAATAGTAGTGGAGGTTTCGTAAAACATTTTTAACGTACACTAGCTTTGCAGATTATGCATTGTATCGTTTTGAAAAGTCTTTATTAGCTAGAAATATCTTTGTATCTCAATAAGGTGACATTGATGTCAACCGGGGATAAAGTGAATATACACATGAATTGAACAAAGCCAAGCCAAGTATAAAGGAAAATCTTAATGTAGCACGTATGATTGACGAGTCGACCTGATAAGTTGAGAGCCGAAAATTCCTTCAGACGTCTATGATGTGTTAAAACTAAGTAAGCTATGTTTAATAGGATACCTTTTGTTTATCCAGGATATGGACAATGCGAGGAGCAGGTGTCCCCTATTAAGATTATGAGAAATGTTGGCACCTATGCACAACAAAACTGGCAAGAGGTAAACTATTTCATCCCATCGGGCTGCAAGTGCACCGTCAAGCCGGGTACAGCTTTTGACAAATTTATTCCTTAAATCATCATAGCACGATCTAAGTAAAAAAAAAACAACAACCTAGGCTCCTTTGCAGGCGTTCTGGGAGCAGTAAGCGTTCTTATGTGTGTTTGTGGGGGGGGGTGCTGATTTTTCTCCCGGTGCGGTCCATGGTTTTCGAAGGCGTACTAAAGGCGACCAGAGTTCTAAGCGCGTGCGATCTACTTGCGATCAGAAAACCCACCAACCGCCCAAAACAAAAACGTCGACTTCTCTCGGAACGCCTGCAAAGCAGGCTACTAAAAGTCTTTAAGTTCAGCTATGTGTGACAGGAGCTTTATAGAGCTTTGCTTTTTGTATAACGGTAGTCAGGATATCTAAGTAAGAACCACTAGTTTATAACCGGAAAGCTGTTGTAATGCGACTTTATTAGACATAGCTTTTTATCTCATTTATTTACTACGTAATTTTTTTTCACTGGAAAACGTGACAATTGAAAAGTCGTGATAACTGTTTCTCGAATAGTTATCCCCTTTTTTCCATAAAAGAATTCCACTCAAACTCTACATGTATATGAAAAAAAAGAGATGTCTGTTTAAAGTTAAAACTTTTGATCCAACACAAGAATTTCTCTCACCTAGAGCTTTTGACCAGTCACTCTGGTCTTCCTCAGTAGACTGACCCAGTGAAGCTGATAACATTGGACTTGTTATCTCATTTTTTCCATATAAGAATTCCACTCAAACTCTATATGGAGAAAAAATGAGATAACAAGTCCTTATCTCAAATAATCAAGTCTACTTTATTGCCATAGATTTTCAGCTGTTGTGTTACATGTAGCTACTCATCAGGGTAGATCAGTTCATAGTTCATTCAAAGAATTTTAGCTTCATCATACAAAGGAGGTAGGTAGGATATATATACAGTTGTGTTGTTGACTTGGTTTGGTTTTATCTAGATCCCTTATGTCAATGTTAACACCATTTAGAAAATCCATATAAGGTCACAGCAAGTAAATTTTATGGATGACATCCTCCGCAGTCTTCAAATCTAATACGAGCGCGGGCGAAAAAAAACAAGGTGGGCCGAAAGAAACAAGGTTCCTACATTTAAAAATTTCGACCCCATCATTGTACAAATGGTTTTATTTAGTGGGAACATCACATATACACAGTCAGCATCACATATCACAGCATCAAAGTAAGAAACAATTTGAAAACATTACATCAGAGCCTTTTCTTGTCTCCTCTCTTCAAAGTTATCTGCCATCCACCTTCCGACATGGCCACAGACATCTTTCTCCATTTTCGGCATGTTGACTACTGTCAGAAGGCAACAAAAATTCTTTTTTTTTTCAAAATCAGGCGTAAAATTAATGCGCGAGCTGATGTCATCCATGAAAAGTACTTAACAGTACTGGCCAGTAACTGGCCTAACAGTTATGTATTTAGCTTCGTTAATTAGACATAGTGAGACTCATCAAAGCCCCAGGATATTCAATCTGAATCAAATCTACCAACTTGACCAATGGCACGGGTCTGCATGTGTTTTCCTACTCGTTATCTATCTATAACTAAACAACTACTGTATGTAGTGTTTTAGTCTGTTTACAGCAACCGAATGTGGGAAGGCCCACAACGACACTTCCACATACCTCTTCCACAGCGTGCTGCCAAGGGATATACATTCCATAGCGCTCTTCCGCGGCCCTTCCACGGCTGTGGAAGAGGTGTGTGGAAGTGTCGTTGTGGGCCTTAGTACGAATTAATGTGATGACGGTCAAGTGTGGTGTCTTTAGAAGCTGATGCACTTAAGGAATAAAATTGAGGTGGAATATTTCGTGTCCATGATTCTTTGACTATTGACCGTCACTGTCCACACGTCAATTCGTCATCATGACGTGAAGAATTTTGTCCGGACAAATAACGAGAGGGCAGGTATAGTTGTAATCGTGAAGACACAATGATAGTTCCATAACTTTATGATATAGTGTACTTTCGCAAAGGAAATGATCTAACTTTAGACAGATCTAGAGAAGCATATATGTAGAACTTAAAATGACGATACTAAGCGTAACAATGTAAACTATCAACAAATTAAGTATGTTTAGCAACCCTGAGTAGCTGGTGGGTGCAGTTCTTCTGTAGGTTCTGAAGTTACAGGAAACACATTTGAATTGGTCCGGTTTTAGCATATGTTTAAACACTGATTGTTAAGGTAACAATGACTCAATGATAGACCTTTCTTGTAAGTTTGGAATGGAACGAACAGGGTTTGGAATGGAACGATAGTGTTGCCAGTCGTCAAAATACACGTATGTGTGGAGCAAGAACAAGTTATAGAAGCTAGGATTATGTTAGCAAGGGAGGGTGGGGGGCCTGAACCCATCCCAACGCCACTCTGTGTCCGATTTCTAGGCCCGAGTGACGTCGTATCCGTCATTTTCCGTTTTTCTCGTCCGGATATACCGTTCCCGGAGTTTCGTCGACGCCGCCGTCGTGGTCGGGGGGTTGTTGTACCTGGACCTTGACCCATCCCAATGTCATTCTGGATCTGGAGCGGAGGCGTGAAAAGGGTAGGGCCTGCGGAAGCGCGTTCCAGTCCCTAACAGTCCAAGGGAAGTACGAGTACCTGTAGTAATCCTTGTGGAATGCTAGTGTCTTGTAGGAACTCATGTTTGCGTGCCTCGCTTTGTGCGGTGCGGGCGAGAGCTTCAGAGATTAAGACAAGACAGTCCACCTGTATGTGTCATGTCGTGTCACAGACAGATACACACAAACGCTACCGAAAACGTCTTCGCCAATGTATTAATGCACCGTCAGTAAACACAAAAAGTTGACTTTGGTTAAACAATGGAGTCTGAATTCGTCACGAGCCGGATACGTTATCGGAAAAGTCATTTGAAACTCCGGAAGGACAAAGTTCACGGCCAGTGTGCTGATCGACCCTGTAATTAACCTCTGCGTTGGCGTTTTGCCATGTGGTAAGGATTGTGGACTGAGGGGACACACTTGTGCAAAAACCATCCGCGGGGAAATTAATTTGCCGTACAAATGTCCCAGCGAATACCGCGAATCTAATTCTACCGCGGATATTTGTAGACAGTTTGTACCAGGATGTTGCACGATATGCTGAATATGATCGCATATGTCATGGTGGTAAGGAAATGGGTGGGGAAACACAATGGTTTATGGGAATTTAGGCTTGTTTCGACATGGCCGCCAGCAAGATGGCGGCACATTGAAGTACATGTTGGAAAATAGACCACAGTTCACCAGGATGACCACGCAAGACTATAGTATATACCAGGTACGTACAGACGTAGGATACATTGGGGCTTCATCTTTCATGTGACTTGTATAGAAGAGCCGATTGTCCTGTTTCTGAACCTTTCGTCTTGGGAAACTGCAATTTGTGCCCTCTGACGACATTAAAATTTGATCTGTGATAGTATGGTACTTCGAAATCGCATTTGAAGTACTGATTTGATAACTACTATATGAGCCCTTTTAACACTGAAAACCTGAAAATAATCAGTGGAACCGATGTCGAGAAATTGAATCCACAATGTATTTGCCCCCCTCCCACCCACTGAACAAAGTGTGTTTGCTTCAAGCGCTGGCATAAATTCAAAAATATCACACGATCTTTTTTAAAGTAGGATAGACCTTCAATACATATATCAAACCAACATATTCCGGAATATGCAAGAGATCAGGACTTTTGATCCAGAAATAGAGTTGCTTGAAATTTGGACAGCCATTTTGTTTACACTATGTGAACTTCAAGCACTGGCATAAATTATAAAAATTCCACTGATGTTCTGCAAAGTGAAATCAAACATGACTACATACATCACTCCAACACACTCTGGAATATTAAGGAGATGCCAACTTCTTATTTAGAAATATAGACTGTCAAAGTTACCTAAAATTTTGTCAGCCATGTTGCTTACAGTGTGTAAACTTTAAGTGCTGGCATAAATTTAAAAAAAATCAACTAATCTTGTTTAAAGTAAAATGAAACATAAGTACATATCACCCCCCCAAACTATTCCAGGATATGGAAGAGATCCATTGAATTAATCCAGAAATATAGACTGTCAAAGTTACCTAATATTTTGTCAGCCATATTGTTTACACTTTGTGAATTTCAGCTGCTGGCATATATTCAACAAAATAAACCAATCTTGTTTAAATTAAAATAAAACATAACTAGAGATATCCCTCCAACCTTTTCCAGAATATTGAGGAGATCCATGCATTTGATCCAGAAATACACCTTGTCAAAGTTGCCTTTATTTTTGTCAGCCACATTGTTTACAATGTGTGAACTTCAGGTGCTGGCCTAAATTCAAAAACATCAACTGATCTTCTTGAAACTGAAGTGAAACTTGACTACTTATGTCACTCCCACATATTCTAGAATATCAAAGTGATCATGACTTTTGATCCAGAAATATGGACTGTCAAAGTTGCTTAATATTTTGTCAGCCATATTGTTTACAGTGTGTGAACATCATGTGCTGGCATAAATTCAAAAATATAGAATGATCTTCTTCAAAGTCAAATGAAACATAACTGCATATCTCCTGTCCCATCACTGCAGGATATAGAAGTGATCCTTTCATTTGATCCAGAAATATAGACTCTCAAACTTCCCAACATTTTGTCAGCCATATTGTTTACATTGTGGGAATTTCAGGTACTGGCATACATTTCAAAACCACAACAGATTTCTTCAAAAGTCAAATGAAACAAAACTACATATGTACGTCCAACATAATGTAGGATATTGAAAATGTACATGTTTATGATAAAGAATTATAGACTTTCAAACATGTTCAAAATTTTGTCATCCATATTGTGGACACTCAAAACTGCTTTGGGTGTCAACTGTAATCCTAGGGAGAAATTCTCAAACAAATAAAGGATCTTTTCCCGAATAAAGTAGAAAAGTAGTACATATATTTTTCGAACATATGTTGTAATTTTAAAGAGATACATTCCTATCAACCAGAAACATGAACATAAGAGAACAAGAATTCCGAGACCTCATA